CCCCCCCCCCCCGCAATAGCTTGTCTCCCCCCTCCATGGCCTGGTGCACCCTGGCCAGTTCTAGTGTCTGCTATGCTATGTTTACCAATGCAATTCATTACAGCAACGGGTGTGCCAGCCGTGAGGCACCCGGCGGACCCTCTCCTGATCCCCCCCACTTCACGCACTGCCCTGCGGTCCCCAAATGTGCCAAACACTCCTCCCCCAGGAGCCGGGGCGGGAGCCCCTAAGAAATGCTGCGGGCTGGGGCCCCGTGCACACCCTGCGCTGCCCCCGGCTCCCCGGAGCGCCCAGCAGGGCCTGCCCCCTCCTGCTTTACTGGAATTCAACCAGCAGATCAAGTGCCTAAACGAGGGGTCAGGCCCGGCCCGTGGAGCTCCTGAGGAACTGACTCCGGGCAAGGGGAGGTTGCATCTGACCCCAGGGCTCTCGAGCACCCAGTCTGTGCCTGCACCTTGGCAGACCGTCTGCCTGCCTCAGAGATGCCTGCTGGATGCTGAGTAGCAGCGGGCATTGCCCGGGACTGTCTCAGTCTCTGGCCAGTGCATCTGCTCAGGGCCCGGGTTGGGGAGTGAATGGGGGGTCAAGATGTCACCTCCCTGTGGGGGGCGGGGGGGATGTGGGAGGGTGTTAGCAAGCTCTTGGGCCAGAGAGTCAGTGTTTGGGGTCCAGGGATGGATCCCAGAGCACTTGGACAAAGCCAAAAGTGGCTCCTGCCGCGCTGTGCTGGGAAGCTGCCTGTCCCAGGGAGGCGGGCGGTGCCGTTGTCCTGTCTAGGCCATGGGCCTGAGGAGGAAACGTGCCCCTAGTTGGAGAGCTGATGCTGCCCCCCTAAGGCAGCAGTGACTTTCCAGCCGGGTGACATGGGGCCAAACCCGCTTCCGCCCACGGGCACATGGATTGCTCACCACCCAGGGGCAGGCAGCGGGGCCTGAGGGCTTGGGGACGGTGTCCCAGAATGGCTGGCTCAGGCTTAGCGCTTGCAGTGACCTTGTAGCAGACAGCAACGGGACATGGCATTAGGTTTTTCTCCACTGTGCATGGTGGTTTGTTATTGTAGGGTCGCATGAGTGCTGTGGGCTGTGCATGCTGCTGTGTTATTACAGGGTTGCTTGAGAGCACCGGACCATGCATGCTGCTTTGTTATTGTAGGGGTGCTTGCAAGCACTGGGCTGTGCATGCTCTTTTGTTATTGTAGGGTTGCTTGCACAAGGTCTGAGGCAAAGCCCTTTGAAGTCACTGGAATGGCTCCCCCAGGCTGTGGATCGGGCCTAGAGGCGAGCACGAGTGAGCTCTGTGCCTTCTCGGGCTTGCTCGTCTGCGAGCCCCAGTCACGTACCTACACCCCTAACGGGCCGGGCTGGAAGCGTCTCCCCAGGCGCCGTCTCCCCAGCTGGCCGTGGCAGCTGCTGCCTGAGTGGGTGGCGCGGTGGGCTGCTAGATCTCAGTGCTCAGGGTGTGTGGGGGGAGGTGGTTCTCCTCGCTGGGCATGGGGGAGCAACTGGCTCTTTAACTCAGCCAGGGAACCCCAGGATTTGGGGGAGGAAGGGGAAACTGCCCTGCTCCTCCCCCACCCTCTGCCAAGGACCCCTTCAATCTTCCCTCCCATTGGAGCCAATGGGACCCCCTGGGAGACCTGGGGCAGGCTACGGTCTATATGGGCCCTTGGCAGCAGTCTCTCCTGGGCCACTCCCCACCCCAGGTCTCCCCATGCCCCACTGTGCCCCACACCGGCAGTGCCCACAGGCCGCTCCCCACTGCAGTTGTCAGGCAGCCCCCGAGCAAGGAGTTTGAGTCTGGTCCCAGCAGGGAGCAGGTGTTTGCATCACCTCCCTCGCTCTGGAAGACACTGGCACACAGCTGGGCACTGCCTGCAGGGGTCTGAAACGCCCCTTCCCCCAGGAACATAAGGCAGCTTCGCCAGCCCCTGCTCCCTGCTTGGAGCGGGCGACAGTGGCCCCTTGCCAGCGTGCAAGAGGCTCGCACGCTGCAGCCGTGGGGCAGAGGCGGTGGGAGACCACGCTGGCTTGCTAGCCCCTCCCATCCAAGAGACTCTGGGCACATTCACAAACATGCCCACTTTAACCCCGCCCGTGCTGTGGGCAACACCCCCTTATGACCGCTGGGGAAACAGAGGCACGGGGAGGGGACGGCCCAGATCCTTAAAGATATTTAGGCACTGAACGCCCATTGATTTCAATGGGAGATAGTCTCCTTCATACCCTTGAGGATCTGTGCTGAAGTGGCTTGCTCAAATGAGGAAAAGAACCCCGGAGTCCTGACCCCTAGACATCCACCCAACCCATTGTAGCATGCTCTCTCCTAGGGAGCCTGGCTCACAGAGGGGCTGCCCCCCCCCGGCACCCCGGCACCCCGGACAGCCCCAGAGAACTTAATAACGCAACATCTGGAAAGAGAAAAGCAAATAGGAGGGGTTGGCTAGCAGCACTGGGCAATTACTAGTCCCTGGGCCTTCCCCAGCCTGCGGCAGGAGTGGGTGACTCCAATTGTACTTCACGTGAAGGGGCTGTGCAGACATGTGGCGGTGCGGTGTGCATACATGTGTGCTTGTGTTGCCCACATACAGGTGGGTGCGTGTGAGTACACATACCCCTCCCCTCACATCTGCGTGTGCACACACCCCCTTCCCCTCACATCCATGTGAGTAAACACACACCCCTCCCCTCATATCCGGATGTGATATGGATGTGAGGGGAGATGTGTGTGTGCCTGGAGGTGAGGCATGGGTGTCCATATCCATGCACAAAGGTGAGAGGTGGTTCGTGTGTGTGTGTGTGTGTGTGTGTGTCACACAGGTGTGAGGGGAGGTGTGTGCGTACACACTGCAGTGAGGGATGTTTGTGTATGAGGGGAAGGAGGTGTGACCGCACGTGGATGTGAGGGGAGGGGTGTGTGCACACAGCTGTGAGGGGAGGGGTGTATGTACTCACATGGATATGAGGGGTGTGTGTGTGTGTGTACGCACACGGATGTGAGGGGAAGGGGGGGGCATGTTCACACACGGCTGTGAGGGGCAGTATGTGTGTACTCACGAATATGAGGGGAGGGGTGTGTGTGCACACGGATGTGAGGGGAGGGGTATGTATGTACTCACACGGACGTGGGGGGGGGGATGTGTGTGTGTGTGCAGGCGGTGGGGGGGGGGGGGGGGGTGTGTGTAGGCACACGGACGTGAGGGGAGGGATGTGTGTGTTTGTGTGTATACTCACATGGATGTGAGGGGAGGGGTATGTATGTACTC